CTAACCTCGCAACGATCACAGCTCCAATCAGAGAACTGCTGAAGACAGATATCGAGTTCTGTTGGTCCCACAAGCAGACGAAAGCTTTTGATCAGAGTAAAGAAATTCTTACTCGGAAACCAGTTCTCAAGTTTTTTGATCCAACTAAACCGGTTATAGTGCGTTGTGATGCCTCGCGGAATGGACTTGGTGCAGTTCTGATCCAGGAAGAACAACCAATTGCCTATGCGTCTCGTTCCATGACTGAAGCAGAAATAAGATACGCGCAGATCGAGAAAGAACTTCTCTCTGTTCTATTTGCTCTTGAAAGATTCAATGCGTACACCTATGGCGTGAAAGTCCTTGTTGAAAATGACTATAAACCACTTGAGATCATTTTAAAGAAATCCTTACACTAGAAATACATGCATGCAGCAACCCCTCGCCTCGGTTAAACGAAATTAGTTGAGCATAGGGATGGTAACATAATTGTTAGGAAATAGAAAATTTATGTGGGTTGGGGGTTTTGGAAGGTACGTGGTATGTGAAAAAAAGAAATTGAGAAAAGTACGGAAATATTTTTCTGCACGTGGAAGCAGTCATAGCAACTCGCAACGGCCGTATAAAGAATCAAAGTTTTATTTTTGCGAAAAAAATGGCAAAAATACGACAAAATTCTTACCTTTTTCTGGGAGTTAAGTTACTCATCTATAGTCAGTGTTATGGTAAATTATTTTAATTATTAATTACCATGAAATATAACATCAGACGTCTCATACAACTTCCAAAGTTTTATGTTACGCCTCGACTGGTTTTTGCACGCGAATATTTTGATTTTCTTTTCTTTTTGTCATTATGAAAATGGAGTTTATAAATGAAATTATAATGTCGTATATCACATAACACATTCAGATTTACCGTGAAATACATTTGAGGATATTAAAGTTGTGTTTACCGCAAAAGAATTGACTTTTTAAAACTGTGCCGGATGACATATTACCAAGTGTAAAATCCGATTTATTACAAAGTCATTATACACGGTGAATTCGGTCGAAAATTTGGTCTTGTTATTTGTTAAACCGTGAAAAGTCCTGACCATATTCGAGTCTCCCTCTAATTTAACTAAAAATACATATATTCCATATTTATGAAAATATAAATTTATCAATTTCATCAAAATTTTGCGAAATGACAGTTATTCATTGACGTTTAAAATACAAATTTTTGTCTTGACCAATCAAGAGCTTAGTAGTTCACACTGGCCTATGCGCATAACGTAGAAGACCGTCCATGGCGTGAGGTCTATTGCATAATGGCGGACAACTTTGATTTCGCATTTGCACATCGTGGGTGTAAATAACCGAGCGGAATTAGTACCCTCGCACGGTGCTCCGCCCCGGCTCGGGGATGATGCGCCTCTGAGATTGCAAAGGATGTTGTTAAGATTACAGAAATATAACTTCACCTACAAGCATAGACCGGGCAAGGATCTGGTGGTAGCGGACACTCTATCACGGGCACCACTTCCCACTACAGATTCAGAGTTAGAGAAAGAAATATCGTGCTATGTTCACATGGTGATGTCAAATCTTCCGGCAACAGATGACATGATGGCGACACTCAGGATTACCACAGAAGAAGATGAATCGTTACAGCGGTTGAAGAAGACTGTTTTGAACGGATGGCCAGATTCGAAACGAGAAACACCAGTCAAAATTAGGGAGTATTGGCATTGTAGAGAGGAGATCTCAGAAATTGATGGGATCCTTTTGAAGAATGAAAAGATCATCATCCCAAATTCCCTGCGACCAGAAATGTTGGAAAAGATTCATGCTGGACACATGGGCACCGAAAAATGCAAGAAGCGGGCACGGGATGTTCTGTATTGGCCAGGGATGAATTCGCAGATAGAAGAAATGGTTTTGAAATGTTCGACTTGTCTCGAATATCGACCATCAAACCAGAAAGAGCCCATGATTGTTCAACCAACTCCCACGATTCCATGGGATACTGTCGCCACTGATTTGTTTTACTGGAACAATTCTAACTATCTATTAGTCGTGGACTACTTCTCACGTTATTTTGAGATTGCGAAGTTACCAGATATTAAGAGCAGCACAGTAGTTACTTACATGAAATCTATATTCGCTAGACACGGGATTCCAAGAGAAGTAAAGAGTGATAATGGTCCGCAGTACATATCACAAGAATTTGGAAAGTTTTCGAAAGAGTGGAATTTCAACATACGACAACCAGTCCATAACATCCACAAGCTAATGGTCTGGCTGAAAGATCGGTGCAGACTGTAAAAAACTTATTAAACAAAGCAAACAGAGATGGAAAAGATCCTTACGTTAGTATTTTAGAATATCGAAATACACCCATTGATCAGATTGGTTCACCAGCGCAATTACTGATGAGCTGAAGATTAAGATCTGTCGTCCCCACAACAAAGTCTTTGCTACAACCCAAGGTCATTGAAGAAGATCTAGCGAGTTCGAAGTTGATAACTAAGAGTTGATAACTACTAAGAAAACCCTTCAGAAACTGTATCACGACCAAGGCTCTAAAGAACTTCCTACAGTATCACAAGGCGAGCAAGTGCGCATGAGACAAGGAAAAGTATGGAATCCAGCTGTGGTAATTAGTAAAGCACATACACCAAGGTCATATATCGTGCAAAGTCCAGATGGAAGCACTTATAGGAGAAATAGGAAACACATTCTCAAGACGAAAGAAGGAAGCTCACAGTCATTTGGAATCGAAGATTGTGATGACACTAGTCAAAGCAATGATCACACTAGTCAAAGCAATGAAAAGGATGCAGTTGGTACAGAACCAGCAAGTGATGGTGATAATGCAGTATCTCTAGAAGAAACACCAGAGGAACAATTACCGGTAACACTTGATAAACTACTTAGTACATCTCCACTAAAGACTAGAAGTGGAATTAGGAAACCAAATAGGTTTAAGGACTATTGGTTATGAACATTGGATAATAGTTAATTGACAATTAATTAAACTTTAAATCAATTAAATTACTTTAGAACAATAGAAAAAAAAATTATACCTTTATAGTTTAGTATAGTATACTTTTATTCATTTAAGAAGAGGGATGTTGTATTATTGTTTAATATGTTAATTTATGCATAGATTTAGCTATATAAAAGTGCTGTACTCATGCTAGTATGTTATATTATAATAAATGTTACACGTACAAATGGACAAACATAACAAACATGAGCAAAGATCCCAGATGAAATGGGCACGGGTACCCATTTTAGCCGCGCCGTGCGACTAAATCGAGTATAATGTAAACCATCACTATGGTTTTCTAGCAACCCCAGTGTGGTTTCGCCATTTCAAGCGCCCGTTGAAGATAATCATTAGCATGTTCCAGATCACCCTTTGTGTCACACACAGCACCCACGATGCTGTACGAGGTAGCAACGTCAGTATGGTTCGGTCCACATCGTCCTAAGCGTATTGCCAGCGCCCTTTGATAATAATCATTAGCATGTTCCAGATGACCTTTCGTACGGCAAACATCACCCAATTTGCTGTATGAAGTAGCAACGTCAGTATGGTTCGGCCCTAATCGTTCTAAACATATTACCAGCGCCCTTTGATAATAACCATTAGCATGTTCCAGATCACCATTCTTTTGGCAAACATCACCCAATTTGCTGTATGAAGTAGCTAGCAACTTCAGCATGCTTCGGTCCTAATCGTTCTAAACGTATTACCAGCGCCCTTTGATAATAAACATTAGCATACTCCAAATCACCTTTCTTACGGCAAACACCGCCCAATCTGTGGTATGAATTGGCAACGTCAGCATGATTCGGTCCTAATCGTTTTAAACGAATTTCAAACGCCCGTTGAAAATAATCATTAATCAATTAGTGCCAGCATAATGTTATAGCTCTGACTAAACACTGACTTTATAGGAACTTTTAGAAATATGGGAACTTGGGACCTGTGGTTGATGTAGTCATCTTCAGGTTTAAGGCAACTCCTTAATAAATAGTTAAATACCTGATTGGCGTAAATGGTAATCAGTAAGATTGACATTCTTTACCAAGCTTGGTTTGTTCTTGATGTCACAAACACCATATGGGAATACTGTGCAATTCTTAGTAATGCATTATCATGCATGTATGGTAACACAACATCAACATTCTTTGGTCTTGAACCTCCAAATCTACAAGAATACTTACATCCCCAAAATCATTAATTAAAGAAAATTGCATGAACAAATTAACATCTTTAATATAACTTGTGTTTACAAGCAATATCTGAAGTGTAAATAGTGTGCAGCAAAGCCAAGAAATATTAAAACAAAATTATGAGTGTTCATCATTAAAACGACAAATCAATATATTCTTAATAAACATCAACGTGTTATTTAGAAAGTCATTTTGATCCAAGTTTTGAAATAACAGCCATCACAATTTGATTTTGCTACTGCTGTTGTTGCATAATCATAGCTTGGAATTGTTGCTGCTGTTGCAACATCATTTTCATGAACTCATCATGCTTTTTTCTTTCCTCGTTTTGTCTTCGTTCTTCCAATTCCTTGTCCTCCATTCTAAACTTAACCCTAAGCTCATTTTCCCCCTTAAATACTGTATGGTCTCACTGCCACTAGACCTCTTTTTTTTACTGTTTTTCTGAACGTCACCTTCATTTTCTTTTCGTCTTTTAGTTTCTCCCAGTTTTTCCATAGCCTTCACACGTATATCATATTAGCACTCCCTTTATCTTCATCTGCCTTCCGTTTTTTTTCCTCATCATCCAATCTTTTTCTTTCTGCAGAGTCATCTTCAATCTGAATCAGCTCTTCAACCATGCCCTCAACTTCAGACATATTGGTGTCTATTCCAGATGCTCTTCCTCGCTGCTTAACTTTCTTCGAAGCTTACTTGATAGAAGGTTGTATCTCTCTCGAACTGCACGTTGATCCAAGTCATTTTTAAACTTTGGTACTTTGATATGCAAAAGGTTTGTCGCTATCTCCAACCACACTTGACCACGCTGAGTTGAACTCTTCTTAAATTGAAAAGAATTTTTTACCAAAATTTCTCTGCACAATAAAATGTCATTGTAATCAGTCCAGACCATAGCACTAAATTAATGAGAAAAAAAATTAGATTTTGTACACATTACTTCTTCTAACACAGTCTCCAAAGAACCCTTGGCTGCACTAATTTTGCTTGTAAGCAATTTTTTTGAAAAGCTCTATGCAATAATCTGTTGATGTTATAATCACTTTACATTGATCAGTGAAACACAATGTGGAACAAATCATTCATTTGCTATAAATAAGTGACCACTATAAATATGTGAAACTATAGCTTAGAAGTTTAAGGTAAACAACAAGATAATCAGAAAGGCTAAAACTCCTCTTTTAAATGGTACATATCTGACTATTCACTAAATAACCTTATTTGTTTACATCTCAATCTGCATTGAATAAGCCTGCACTTTTACAAAATCTGTGATTTTGACAAATGCAATCAATAGTAAATAAGGTAAACATTTCCTTGTGTATTTAAAAATAATTTGTTTTCCTTATCTTAAAAATTAAAGAAATTTTAATCACTTACTGAGTCTTCCTGCGTGAAGGTTTATCCTTCTCAACTGATTGCATAGCCATTTTAGAAAGACCTATTTTAAAAATGAAAAGTCGGTCAATTTCCTTTGTATAAACGAGTATATATTTTATGCCATCATTAAATAAACATTATTTTATCCATTCAAAAAGGTTATATTTGAATGTCTAACAGAATAAAGTAGAAAATATCATAAAAAACTCACGTTTTCTAGAAGACGGCAAACCAGCTACCCAGACGTATTCTACGACACAGCACGGGAGGTAACGCATGCGTACAAAAGCAATTATTAAAAAACACTTCCGGTTTCCCGCATTCTCTGTTCCCGTCGTCGATCTTAAGGTCTCTATTGTTAAAGCAAATCTTTCAAGGTCTGCAAGAAGCCCTGACTGAGCAAGCATGGAGGCATCATGTTTCTTTCCCTCTAAAATCATTTTGAAAAGAAAAGCATTAAGAGTATATACATGCATAATGTATTTGGTTGATCCAGTCCTGAATTTTAGAGAAAGTGTGTGTGTTGGGGGGGGGGGGTAAACTGCTTACCTTTCAATGTTTTGGGGTGCACCTCCAGTAAAACGTGTGCAAAAACTTCCACTAATTAATACATGTAGCTTACTATAACAGTCGAGAGAAAATGTTCAAAACAGAAGTAACCAAAATTTAAACCTATTACCTACCTACAGGTCCATACAAATGAGCAATTAACCCATTTGGCAAAGAAACTGATTGAAACTTAATGGCGTGAGTTCGTTTGTGCCCATTAAAAGCTGATCTATGGAGCTTTTTGGGGCGGCAGATGGGTCTCACGGCTGCATCTACGAACACAAAGCAATTTTCTAAAGCTGCCCCTTTATGATGGATTGCTTGGGCATATATTTGGAAGTTTCTGGAACTGAGAAGGGAATGGTTCCATCTTGTAACCAAATGCCCATGCTCTTTGTAGATAAAATCAACCACTTCGTTATGAATCATGCTCAATACAGGAGTAGGTTTTCCAAATCGGTGTATAAGATCAGAATAGCGACATGGATATGTCAGTCGTTTTAGGCAGATACACAAGCCCCCAATTCCACTGCATACTGATCCCTGTGGGCAGACAAATTTTTGAGGTAGATTTAATAATTCGGCAAGCATTTCTATTTCACTTTACCTGCATCGAAACTCAGCCATACATTCAAAATCATCCATCTCATGAAAATCAAACTCGCCGATATGTTTATATGGAAACTCTGGGTTTTTCGAGAAGTGCAGTTCATTAAGAAGTAGAAATTCCTCTTCATCGATAGTACCATCATCGAAACTTTCCAGCAGAATTTCTCGAGTGTGTTTAAAAGATGCCATTCGACTTTTCCCGTCTTTGTTTTTAAAAATTCTTAAGGCTTCAAATTTAGTGTGAGAACGGTAGTCTCGACCCGGGCCTCGGGCTCCGAATACCGTCGCCGTCATCAAATCCCGTAGTCGATCTTAAGGTCTCTAATAGCTTTCCAAAGAAATCGCTTAATTATTTTCTATTGTGACCGGTGAAGGAATCCGCTGCGGTTGAGTTTTCACAATTGGTCCAATTTATACCGACGGATCCTCCGTTTTGACGAATCGTCAAAACGGAGGATCCGTCGAATGACGAACTTGAGCAAGCGAAAGGTAGTTCGTCTTCTAGTTCTTCTGTAAAAAACGGACAAAGAGAAGGATCAGCCACCAAGACAAATTATCTGCACATTTCACTTCTATTTCATTTAGTCGTATTTGAATTAGCTGTTTGTCTTGACGCATCTTCCGTGATAAATAATTTTCCAATTCCCATTCCCAACGCGCGATTCTGTTTCATTTGATATAATATTAATACAGAAAAAAAGTCAGGTGTGGGATTCGAACCCACGCCCACCATTGTGGACCAGAATTCCTCCCGACGTTCTTGGGTCTGGCGCCTTAGACCGCTCGGCCAACCTGACGACTAGTTACCACAAGAACAAAACCTACTGGTTTAAAAAAACGAAAATTGTCCCTTGATGTCAATATCTAAAAAAATTGTTTCCTCATTACATACATACGACCCGACAGTGGCAGCGGTGGGATTCGAACCCACGCCATCAAAATGACTGGTGCCTTAAACCAGCGCCTTAGACCACTCGGCCACGCTACCTAAGCCGTTAAGTGTTACTATTTGGCGAATGATTGTTCTATATAACTGAATAGAGACCACGCAGCCACGCTATCTACAAAGAATTGCCGCCAAAACTTTAGATATTCCAAAGGCTTATTTCGCATAACAAGTACTATTGCCTATGCAAAATGTATTGCAGTTATATGGTTAAGTATCTGCCTTTATGAATCCGGATTGGAACATGATATCCACTGTAAAATATTGCGTCTAGTTTATTTATTTTTTTTGCTAATGACTTTTTTAATGTTTCACTCTCTTTTTCAGGTTAGGAGTTGTGAGAAATATTTGACCAGCCCAAAAATTTTTTTTCAATATGTCCAAATTTGTCAGGTATGGGATTCGAACCCACGCCCACGACTGTGGACCAGAACTCATACACCATCTTAAGTCTGGCGCCTTCAACCGCTAGGCCAACCTGACTGTTCAAAAACTTTTCGAACAATATGGCTTTTTTGCACGTTATCGACGGGAAAAGACAGAAGTAATTCCACAAAAGTATTTTAAAACAATATAGGAGTACTAATTTAGTAATACAGAAAAAAATGTCAGGTGTGGGATTCGAACCCACGTCCACCATTATGGACCAGAATTCCTCCCGACGTTCTTGAGTCTGGCGCCTTAAAACGCTCGGCCAACCTGACGACTAGTTACCATAAGAACAAAACCTACTGGTTTAAAAAAATGAAAATTGTCCCTTGATGTCAATATCTAAAAAAATTGTTTCCCCATGAAATACATACGACCCGACAGTGGCAGCGGTGGGATTCGAACCCACGCCATCGAAATGACTGGTGCCTTAAACCAGCGCCTTAGACCACTCAGCCACGCTACCTAAGCCTGTGGGTTTTACTATTTGGCGAATGATTATTCTACACAACTGAACAAAGTTTATTCCATTATTCCCCAAGTATAAAATAAACGTGTAAATAGTGTAGACCATGCAGCCACGCTATCTACAAAGTATTGCCGCCAAATCTTAGATATTGCAAAGACTTATTTCCCATAACAAATACTATTGCCTGTGCAAAACGTATTGCGGTTATATGGTTAAGTATCTGTCTTTATGGTATAAAAGTAAGCGAATCTTTTTTAATGTTTCAATCTCTTTTTCAGGTTAGGAGTTGTGAGAAGTTTTTGACCAGCCCAAAAATGTTATTTCAACATGTCCAAATTTGTCAGGTGTGGGATTCGAACCCACGCCCACAACTGTGGACCAGAACTCGTACACCATCTTAAGTCTGGCGCCTTAGACCGCTCGGCCAACCTGACGACTAGTTACCACAAGAACAAAACCTACTGGTTTAAAAAAATGAAAATTGTCCCTTGATGTCAATATCTAAAAAAATTGTTTCCCCATGAAATACATACGACCCGACAGTGGCAGCGGTGGGATTCGAACCTACGCCATCGAAATGACTGGTGCCTTAAACCAGCGCCTTAGACCACTCGGCCACGCTACCTAAGCCTGTGGGTTTTACTATTTGGCGAATGATTATTCTACATAACTGAACAAAGTTTATTCCATTATTCCCCAAGTATAAAATAAACGTGTAAATAGTGTAGACCATGCAGCCACGCTATCTACAAAGTATTGCCGCCAAATCTTAGATATTGCAAAGACTTATTTCCCATAACAAATACTATTGCCTGTGCAAAACGTATTGCGGTTATATGGTTAAGTATCTGTCTTTATGGTATAAAAGTATGCGAATCTTTTTTAATGTTTCAATCTCTTTTTCAGGTTAGGAGTTGTGAGAAAGTTTTTGACCAGCCCAAAAATTTTATTTCAACATGTCCAAATTTGTCAGGTGTGGGAATCGAACCCACGCCCACAACTGTGGACCAGAACTCGTACACCATCCTTAAGTCTGGCGCCTTCGACCGCTCGGCCAACCTGACTGTTCAAAATCTTTTCGAACCAATATCGCTTTGTTACACCTTATCGATGGGAAAGGGCAGAAGTAATTCCAGAGAAGTTTTCTTTAAAACAATATAGGAGTACTAATTTAGTATTACGGAAAAAAAAGGCCGGTGTGGGGTTAAAACCTGCACGCCCACTTTTTTGGACCAGAATTCCCCACGACGTTCTTGAGTCATGCGCTTTCGACCGCTCGGCCAACCTTACGACTAGTTACCACAAGAACAAAACCTACTGGTTTAAAAAAATGAAAATTGTTCCTTGATGTCAATATCTAAAAAAAATTGTTTCCTCATGACATACATACGACCCGACAGTGGCAGCGGTGGGATTCGAGCCCACGCCATCGAAATGACTGGTGCCTTAAACCAGCGCCTTAGACCACTTGGCCACGCTACCTAAGCCTGTGGGTTTTACTCTTTGGCGAATGATTATTCTACATAACTGAACAAAGTTTATTCCATTATTCCCCAAGTATAAAATAAACGTGTAAATAGTGTAGACCATTATTCATTAAGCTGCATGTATAGAAAATGTCATAGCTAGCTGCAGTACAATAAAGTATTCTCAATTGCACTGTGCTCTAAGGATGGCAGTCAGCTCAACTGTAGATAATCTACTTTTGCCATATTTCTCTTTATCCTTTTTTAAAAAAATTAATATCCAACACAATTGGGGTGTCATGATTTTTAAATAAGCAAAATATTCATCAGGATTAATCTATTTAATTAGGGCCTGGCTGATTGAGGTTGACCGTTTTATATTAAAATTATCTTAATCTTCTAGCAAATGGATTTGGAATTTTCAAAACTTAAAACATTAGGTAATCTGGAAAAAGAGTTCATGTAACCATGCAAACAACTTTAAATTTCATTTGGTTTACAAAATGCTAGAGATTGAGTGCTCAATATACTATGTACACTAGGTAGAGCAGATATACTTCTTAGGTCATAATGATGATAATCATATCAGCCCTACCTAATTTATTGACATTTTATACTGTCAGGTTATGGTGAATGAAGATCCTGTTGCAGTAGATGATCATTGCATTGGAAATGAGGTTATAGATGCAGGTTGTGATGATAATGAGTCCATGGAAATAGACATCATGGATGAAACAGTGAGTGATGTTGCTGATAAGGAAAGTATGCTCGAGATGATTGATG